TCTCCGTCTTCTGCCTGCTCCACTTTTCAGAAAATGTGTGCTCAAACAGGCCGTTTGGAGATTTTCCCTTCATGACATCACAAAGGGCAGTAGCCCCTCCCCCAGGTGGGTGACACTCCCACAGCTAGGTGTTTGTTCTGCCCTCTGAGTCTGCCTTCTCACCGTAAACAATAGGACATGGAGCGAGAAAGACCGAGTATACCCAAGCCCTTCCAGAGAGGGGGCGTGGTCAGACACCGCTCATTTACATATTTAAAGCTACAGACACACAGCGGCGCTCTTATTAAAAGTGCGTCTTATGCACTGAATTAAACGGGACTAAAGGTTGCAAACCAACTCCTGTACATCGTCTAAATTACACAAATTCATCAGCAGCTTTGATCCTAAAACCTTTCTGATGTTTCAGTGAACTCTCCGCTGCTCTCCGTCTTTTAGTAAAAGAGATCAACGTAACCTTTGGATCTTTTCAAGACGCCAAACAGACGCCAGAAACCCAACCTCAACCACCACTCGCTTTCTCTCTCTCTCTTTGGTTAAAAATAAAAGTACATCTCTGGTGCGTCGGTGCTTTTCCATTCGATCGATCGTTAGAAAAATCAGACGTATCGTTTAAAAACAGGTGCTTTGAAAAAAGAAGGGTGAGTCCCCTTCTCAGTCTGCACCCACACAGAGCCACCTTACACCCAGAGTCACCTTCAACCTTCTGCTGGTGTCAGGTTCTGGCTGCTGACGGAGACTTCTGGAAGCAGATACTCCACAGAGCAGGGATTTCCCCGTAACTGGAGGGCTCATGAACGCCCCTCACTGGAGGCCTGCCCGGCCTGAGAGGGGCGTACCAAGACTCAAACCCGATCTGCAGGCTGGACTCATTCTATATAATTCACATAAAATGCTTTGTTTCTGATATTTTCACCTCACTGCGGGCTCGAGAAACTGCTGCACTACAACAGGCCGCCATCTTGATAAAAAGAATGTGTATTTGTTGTTTTGACCGCTGACTCAAAGATCCAATCAGCCTCACTGACTCGATCATATCTTCACTGACGATCACTGAACAGAAGTGTAACCATGACTGACAGCAGCCACAGCGTTTTCACCACAGACGGGAGGAAGTGAACACGTACAGTTCACCTTCAGAGGAGCGGCTCTGAGCGAGTGCCAACGGGCCGGACAGTCGACATTCCTACAAACTCGGGGCTTCACCTTCCTGACAAACAGACGCTTCAGACACAGCTACTACTGTCTTCATTCAAAGTCTGAACGAGCAACAAGAGAAAGACATTCTTCAGAGGAGGAGGAGGAAACACTTCATCGTTCATCCTCCTGCACGTCGTTCTTTTATCTTTACATCATTTTTAATCTGCTCCATAAAAAAACTACGTCAGCTTCATTCCTTCTGCAGCTGGGCATGAGAAAAGAGACTCTTAAGGAAGTTGATGTGGGCCGTTTGGAGATTTTCCCTTCATGACATCACAAAGGGCAGTAGCCCCTCCCCCAGGTGGGTGACACTCCCACAGCTAGGTGTTTGTTCTGCCCTCTGAGTCTGCCTTCTCACCGTAAACAATAGGACATGGAGAGAGAAAGACCAAGTACATTCAAGCCCTTCCAGAGAGGGGGCGTGGTCAGACACAGCTCATTTACATATTTAAAGCTACAGACACACAGCAGCACAAACACACTGTACTCGAGTATCCAGAGTTTTTTTATCCACCACTTCTGTCCGGCAGGTTTTTTTGCGTCATCTTTAAGAAATCCCTGAACGTTCTTTGTGCACCTTCTGCCGGCTTCTCTCGTTTCCTTTGTGGATTCAGCGCGTCGCTGCTCGGCCCCTCTGTCCTGGTGAAGCTAATGTAGCCTAGCTTGATGAGGACTCTGTTTTCGTTCCATGCAGGATTGAATAACCGCGCCGTTTTTGTCCTCCCTACCAACATGCACAGGAAGAATGTTTTCTATTCCCTCCAGGACTCAACTCGTTTATCTCTAATACAGATTTTAAACCTTTTCAAACCGGCCTCGTCACTGAGAGAAGAACGCAGCAGAAAACCAATCAGAGGCTTCAGGTGCTGCAGCGAGGAGAGAAGGACCACAAGGAGGTCAGACGTCTTAAAGACGAACATTCAAAACATCAACCAGCGACTCAAACAAGAAGTCAAATTTGAGCGCGCTCAGTTCGCCCGCCACAAACAAACCTCCAAACAAGGCATGTAGCAACCGCAGCATGTAGCAACCACTGCGTGCTCGCCTGCAGTGCCTGCAGCTGATAAGCTCTCTTCATGACAGCAGACAGGAAGCTCTGCGAGCGCGAGCACCATGACTCTGTACTACACCCAGCAGAGGTTACGTCATCCAAACATCCGTCCGTCTGAAAACAAAGCCGTGTCTCCCTCCAGCCAAGCGAGCCGAGGTCAGACCGCCAACTCAGCTGCCCGTTAGAAACCCTCATGTTCAACAACTACGGCAACAAAAGTGTGTCAAAAAGAGGGAGAGGAGAAGTTTAAGATCACAACACAGACCTTTGACTTAAACTCTTCAGTATAAGTTAAACTCTTCGTGCCACCTCTTATCACTACAGAACGTTTTAACGAGGTCGACACGATACCAGAAATGTAAACTTCGATACGACATCAAACTGAAACACAAACTGAAGTCTCAACGGTCATTTCTGATCTTCGTCGTTAAAAAAATGCAGGAAAACTACTCCACAAATAAGTCGCCAACGTTTCTTCAGATAAAGTCAATAAACAGACGGACGCCGTCACAGACCGCCTGGAAGGACTCGGGTCTGAGATACTTTACGGACTAATCTACAAAGAAATTTAAAATATGGGAAGATGTTTTATTGATTTCACATCATGAAGAATAAAGTTTAACAGTAACAATCTGCTGATGTCTGCAAGGTCGTGTAACGAGGAGTTTGTAGATTTAAACGAGGACCTACGATGGGGCTGCAGACAATTTATTTTTATTTTTATTGTTTTTGAATGAAGTGTTTTGTTTTAATTAATGCTTTGTGAACGAGCAACAGATATTATAAGATTCTTCTTTCTGCTCCTTTTCATTCAAAATTTGAGATTCTATGTTTGCTTGTTTTTCTTAACTTTATTGTTTGTTTGAATGAAATAAAATTTACAAATAAAATAAAATAAATAAATGTACATCTTAAAGGGCGTTTAGATAAATATGAATTATCTTCTGTTTCTCTGTGGGGAGAGAAGAGTTCACTCTTTAATGTTTGCAGAAACAGAGAAATGACCATTAACCTGGATCGATACCACAGGTTTTAAAAAAAAGAGACTTTTATTTGATTGATGGTTATTTATAAATCATTAGAGAGAACGCTGCTCCCACATCAAGAACCCGTTTTAAACATAAAGAAGGATGAAGCGTGGTGAGAATGAAAGACGTCAGAGAGAAAGTGAAGAAACTGAAACCACACAGAGTTCAGCTGGAGGTCAAGTGAACTGGAAGAGTCCCAGTTTGTGTCTGACTTCCTAACCAACAAGAAGCCCTGACTCTGCAGGGACAGCTTCCCCTGCCCTCCTGAACAGTCTTCTGAGTCAGAGATAAGACTCAATAAAACGAGGCGGGGCGCTCTACTTCAGCTTCAGCTTACGTTGAGCGGGCAGGTAGCCACCGTGTGAAACACTCTCAGGTGGCGGCTAGCTTTGAGGTCTGCTTCATAGTCAGACTTGCAGGTCTTAGAGGGTCAGAACAAAGGTCTGGATCCGGTGTTTCAGTCCGAGTTAAGAGGTCAGAACAGCCGGCGTTATGTAAAGGACTAACTTTGACATTTATAAGATGAAGGGATAGATTTAAAAACACGTAAACACCGTATACAACCGTTAGTTCTGAAATCAAGCGATGTGATTGGACAGAAGGTTTTTCCTGCACAACACCATAGACTGTTTGAAAACACTCACACAGTGTGATCAGAGCCACGAGCCGACTCTGAACTTTCCACTCTGATGTTACCTGCACAAACTGACAGACAGCGTCTGAAATCACCATGGCAACAGCAGACATCCCATTTACCTGTCTCCCCCCCCCCCCCCCTCCAGTTATATATACAGTGTGAGGTCTCAGGTCAGGTCGTGAGCTCAGGTCGTGCATCGTAAATGATTCAGTCGTACAGTGTGAGCGGTCGATCCATCGACAATTTCCAACAATCGTGAAGTGCACGCCAGGATTTGAAGTTTCCCTCGGCCCCCAACATTTACAGTCTCTCTTCAGCCGTGCTATCTGAAGACAAAAAGGCCAAAAAATAACTTGCTTCCTAACTGGAAGGAGCCCCCCGCCAGGCGTAACTGTGTATGTAGGTCTGTTTAGTGTAATTAACATTAATGCAGAAGGTCTATGTGGGGATGGACCAGGACTCAGGACCACACAGACCCCCCAAAGAAACTGTCAACATGCAGGTTCACCTGTTTCTATCACCTGTACAGATACATGTGTCTGAACTAGTTTGTGTTCAAGGAGCCAAATAAACTAAATCAAGATGCTCAAATGTTTTCAGAAACATCTGCTCGAACACAGCCTTCGGTTTCTATGGCAACAGAGCCTGCGGATATCCATGACAACAGCACTTTGTCTCCTGTGTTTTAAATAATTATAAATGTATAAACATATTCTATACCAGTATACCAGGATAGAAACACATAAGAAGTCATATAATAATAAAAATATTAAACATGCAAGTCTGTAAATTATCTCATTTAGTTTGTAAAGAAAATTACAATATAACGAAGCCATTTAATAAAAGATGAATAAGTTTAGCTGAATATCAGGTGTTTAAAGTTTGGTATGGACCCTCCGTCCTGCAGTGCAGAGCGTCGACTGTAGGGGGCGCTGCAGCTCCTTTAGCTCCGGAGCTAATGCTAACAAGCTAGCATGCTAACCAGAACAATCGAACACAAACTGAGCCGCTGCACCGGAGCCGCGCGGACCTCCGGTACTGCCGCTCGTAAGAGGTCGAGTTCGGGTTGAGAAATGTCGGGTTGTACCTGGAGTTCGGCCCGCTCCACCTCCCATTGTGCTCGCTCCACTTCGAAACGGGCCCATTCGTGCTGCAGGAAGTGCAGGATCCCCGGAATACTGTACTGCGCCCTGGCCGCCTCCCCAGCGTCGCCGTCCGGCAGCGCTCCTTTCCCGCCGCCCGGTAACACGGAGTTGTTGTTGTTGTTAAAGAAGACGCCGGGCCCCGCCTGCTCGTCCATGGCCGGGCTCGGTGAAACCTCCGTCCGTCGTCTCGTTAAGTCCGAGGTGTTAGATACCAACGGAAGGGCAGAAACGGATCGACTGCACTCGGACTGCTCGGCTCCGGGGAATGAACTCACTTTCTGACAGCTAGCTGTCATTGAGTGACGTCAGTAACGACGACCACGCCCACAACGAGCTCGAGAGGGCGCTCGATTTGTTCACCCAGACTCCCCGGATGTTTTTATTCTCTCTCTCCTAATGTTCAGTTAATAGAGTGAAATATTTAAACTAGTCATATTGCCAAATGAAAGATCTTTGAGTTCAAGCAAGAAACGTGAAGAAGAAACAGTAATTTATATGAATATTAAAGGGGACATATGATGAAAAACCCACTTCTTCAGTGTTTTTGAACATTTATCTGTGTAACCTGAGAGTCTACTGACCCACAACATGTGAAATAAACCATCCAGTCCTTTGTTTGTGGTCTACATAAGTCTTACAACACAGAGAAAAATGCTCTGTTTCAAATGTGCTCTCCTTGTGATGTCACAGTGGGATTCTGGTAAAAAAGAAATCCCCTCCCCTCCCCTGGTATCTCCACTCATGGACTCCACCCTAGAACAAAACTTTTGAGCAGGTCCACCATTTTTATTCTCTCTACAGAGGAGTGATGTCTACGGGGAAAACTCGGGGGGGGGGGGGGGTCATTACATTTAAAGAGACACACACCAAAACAGAGCGTTCTGAGAGAGCTGGTTTATACAGGCTCACAAACCTCCTCTGGTGCTTGATTCATGTTAGATTTTGACTTGTGAAACATTTATCAGCGTTTCAGCGCTAGACCTTCATCGAGGAAAGAACCGAAACATTGTTGATAAATGTTTGTTTGAAAGTTAGACAGAGTGCAGTTTTTGATGCACACGTCTCTCCTACTCCCCTCTCTTGTGGAATAGATGTGCGAGGGTTTCAGTTTAAAGTGATGAAATCAAGGTGACGGCCGCACAACGAGGTCGGGGTCAGCTGACTTTATTTGTTCAACACCCATCATCACACACAGATCACAAAACAGAAAGAGGTGAAAGAGACTTTATTCCAGAGAAATGGAGGTCTGATAAAACACAGTCTGCAAAGTCTGAGTGATGATGGAAGCTGATGACCAACGCGCAGGATGTCGTAGTCACACATTCATAGATTCATCAAGAAGATCAAACCTGCATACAACGGACTTTCTGAAGCTGCTTCCACATCTGCACTCCTGAAAATATCTGGATCATTTCAGGACTGCTCCAGATATCCTCCTGACCTCACTGTTCAGGAGGAGAAACTCCGGGTGAGATGAAGCTCCGCCTCCTGTGAAAATGCTGCGTCTGAAGTAAAATCTCATTCAGGGCTGAAAGTAACGATGAAAAGTGAAACTCTGGTCTGTTTGGAAACATCATGAAGGAATGTTTACACAATGATTCAAGAGAAAAAACAGAAGAAAGAGGACAATCATCACATGACGAGACAGAGAACAGGAAATGACCACGAGTGAATGTTCATCACGTCCCTTTAAGAAGAATACATTCACACATGAATCACTTTCTGCTGATTTAACATTCAAAACGCTTTAATGATATTTACATCACTTCACTCTCTGCTTCAGGACGAGTTTCATTCTTTAGAAAACAAACGTGGAATAAATAAATACACGTCCGGACTGATTCTGACGACCTGTGGTGACAGGCGGTGGGAGTGCACGGCGGCGTGTTGGGAGCGGCGTGTTGGGAGCGGCGTTCAGAAGAAGCTTGTTTTCAGTTTGATGGTGGGCGCGGCCTGCGCGGCGGGCTGAGCTTGTCTGGCTGCAGCTTTAGCTTTGCTGCTGGCCTGGTTGGCTCGTATCGCAGATTCCAGCCGGATTTTGAGCTCAGGCGCCGCACCAATCACCGTCTTGAAGGCGGCGGGATAGAGCGGGCCAATCCGCATTAAGTTCTGGAGAGCAAAATCATGCAGGCCTTTGGAGACGTGGGGCGCTGAGGAGATTGCGTTTTCGTCCAGGAGGTAGGAGATGAGGGTCGGTACGAGGAGCGCCAGCAGCTGCACGCCTGTGGAACCAAAAACACAAAAGAGACTTTAAGAGAGATTAGCAGCAACAGAGAGATTAATGAGAACTCTCAATACAGCTGACGCTCCAAATCCAACACAAACAAGAAAAACAAGAGGCAGGAGAGGTCAAAGAGAAACCTGACGTCGACACAACACCACATCTATAAACTTTATATGACTAGAGTGATGTCTGTTTGGTAACCACGGCAACAAAAACAC